GCCTTGTGCACACTAGGCAAGCACTTTACCACTGAGCTAATCCTCAACCCTTGGGTTTTCTGAGACAGGGTCTGCCTGTGTAGCCCAGGCCTCTCTTTCTACCCAGTTTTACTTTTAAAATGATAAGACCCCTGTAAGGACAAATAAACACTCTTAAAAGAGGACAAATAACTCTCTTAATAGATCTATACAGCATAGATATTTTACACAGAAAGAAAGACTTTAGTGAGAAGCTATAATCTTTTATTTAATATTAATAGCTCATATCTACTTAAAGTGCCAAGCTTTTGCACCCAGAACCACATGCAGTCCTCACAGTGACCTTCAGAGACAGGTGCTATGTCTCCCTGCAGCTTGCAGGTGACAGCACTGAGACAGACTCAAGTGAGTGTGACTTGTAGGTGCGCCTAACGGCTCTGGCAACATTGGCTTGAGATGACCTTACCCACACCGGCATGGGCTGCCCTGGAGTCCCCAGGATGGGTGCCTGGAGGCAGCCCCCTCCTTGGGTACCAGAACAGCAATGAGAGGGTCCTCCTCCCTTCCTCAGGTCCTAGAAAACACAGGATCTGAAGGCTGCTGGACACCCAGGTTCAGGTCAGAGGCCATGTTGTATATCATAAATACGTACAATTTTATTTGCCAACTAGACCTTAGTAAAAGCTGGAAAAATAAATGAATAAGTTTCCATATTCTTCCCCAGCACTAGTCATAGTCTTTTCCCAAAAAGTCACTCATTAGTGGTTTGACGCACAATATTCCAGACAATTTCTGTGTGTCTTTGTAGGTTTATGTGTAGTTTTGTTGTGCTGGGTGGGGGTACATTATAGCATTTACAGACGTTCTTACACTATATCAATTATATCATACTTGAATTCGCCCCCTCCACCATTCTCCTTTAATGTGTATAGTTTTGGGTTCAGTTTACTTTATGTAAGTGAGATTATACTGTACATTGCCAGCAACCATTAAATTTAACTAGATGATAAAAAATAAAATAAAATAGGGCTGGAGGCATGGCTCAAGCAGTAGACCACCTGCCTAACAAGCACAAGGCCCTGAGTTCCAACCCCAATACCGCCAAAAATATACAAATGATAAAAAAGAAAGACAAAGCTGGATGTGTGGTGCTTGCTTGTAATCCAGCAGGGCTGGGTGCCCATCACTCATGCCATAATCCTAGCTACTTGGGAGGCTGAAACTGGGAGGATCATGATTCGAGGCCAGCCTGAGCAAATAGGTCATGAGACCCCCCCATCCCCAAAATAACCAGAGAAAATGGACTGGAGGTGTAGAACCCCTGCTTTACAAGTATATAGCCCTAAGTTCAAACCCCAAGCCCATCCAAAAAAATGGTTAAGGCAGGAGAATTGTGAGTTCAGGGGCAGCCTGGGCTACCTATGAGACTCTGTCTTAAACAAAATAAAAAGTAAACTTTTTCTTTTGGTAAGGGGGGAGGTTTGAATTCAGGGCCTACGCCTTGAGCCACTCCATCAGCCTTTTTTTTTTTTTTTTTTTTTGATGGGTTTTCAAGATAGGGTCTCAAGAATCATTTGCCCGGGCTGACTTCAAACTACAAATCTCCTGATCTCTGCCTCCTGAGTAGCTAGGATTACAGGCGTGAGCCACCAGGACCCAGCTAAAAATAAATTTTTTCAGTCATTTACAAAAACTGGAGGTGGGAAGAGAGAAATGCCACTGATCCCAAGGGCCACATCAATCCTTTCTCCCCCTGCCTTTCTCCCATTAAAATCTAAGCACTGGGGGAAATCACACCCCCCTGCCTTTTCTAGACCGTGTGTTGTCTCTTGTTTTGCACAGGCCCATCGGTGCTGGAGGTGGCAGAGATGGGGCACCACACTGGGCCAGGCCTTGACCCTGTAAAAGGACAGGCCCCGTAGGTTTGGCCAGCAGCCCGCTAAAGGAGCCCCCGTGGAGATGGAGCTGAAGGTGGGAACCAGTTAGGAGGCAGACACACAGATAAGGGTGTGGGTTGGATCAGCCTGACCTGGGAGGATGAAAAAGAACAAAGGGAGGGGAGGCAGAGTGGAGATGGGGAGCTGCTTGTCTTCAGCACTCCTAGCTCCTTCTAGGTCCGGTTAGGGTACAGAGCAGTGAATGGAAAGTTGTAGCCAGAGTTCTAGGCCAGGAGGCCCAACTCCAAATAAAGAGGTGAGTAGTGATGAAGTCATGCCATGGGAAAAGACAAAGTAAGCACTTCAGCTCAACTTCAGGGTACGGACATGACCTTGAGGTTTAAATAGAGAAGGGTTTGGGGCAAAGGGTACAAGTTTTGCACAGTTACTAAACAGTCCCATGAAAAGTGTGGCCTGGTTGATTATTATCTCAATTCTGATTCTGTTAGAACTGAGGTCCCAGAGAAGCTGTTAGTGCTGTCAGCACTTGAGGAGTGCAATTGGGTCCCCATGGGATGATTGCTCCTGCTCCAGGGTGCAGCCTCGTCATTATAGGTAATTGTCCTCATTAGGAGTGATCTGTCCTGTGAGGCTCTGTTATTCCTTTCCTTGGGTTTTGGTCCCTTGTCGTAAAGGTATTGTCCGTCAGTCCTGTCCTTTCCAGGAACCCAACCAGATTGTAAGAGAGAGACTCAGAGCAAAGAAGACAGATGCATAACGGAAGCAGGGATGGCAAGCTTTTGGTTAATTCATGGACCCAAGTAAGGAGTTGATGCTTTTCAGCAAAAGCAATGTAAGCACCTGTTGCTACCCTGAGGGGCCTTCTCAGAGGGCAGGTATAGGGTTTGACCCCAGGACCCCCTCCCACTGGTCTTCTGGCTGAGCTGTGCTGATAGTGGTTCCTTGCCTCTGTCTCTTGAGGATACTTCTGAAGGATCCCCAAGTCCCACCCCAGCTACCTGTCCAGCACCTGCTGCAAAAATTCAGCTTGTGACTAGAGGCTGTTGTAAGCCCCTGGGAGTAGAGCCAGCCTCACCCCAGATGGGAGTTTAAGCCTAAGCCTAGGCTCCTCTCTCCCCCAGCTCCAGGCCCTGGATGCTGGAGGAGACCCAGGATCCAAATAGTTCCAGCACAGTCCTCACCAGGAGTGCCTGAGGCCCCAAGTCTATGTAGGGGTGCTCTCCCCACTCACACCAGGGGAGGCCACAGTGAGAGATGGGTAGTCCGCAGCCTTTCAGAGCTCGCTATCCCCAGGGGAGTGGATCCCACTCTGACACAGTAGAGAACAATGCAGAGCCCACCCCAAGCAGCAGAGACCCAAGGTCAATGGCTATGGCTTCTGTTGCCTGAGGGAGCTTGCCTCCCTTCCCAGCAGTCAGCAGTGGCCAGAGTTAGGGAATCAGTGGCAGAAAAGAGTTGCTGACATTCACTCAATGACAGGCCTCTGTGCCAATCAGCCCCCTTACAATATTCTTCCCCTGAGTGGGGTACCCTCTACCCTGATCTGGTGAGTGACCAGGTACAGGGAGAGGGAGTTGAACTCAGCTCTGCCAGTATGTGCCATTCAGTGGCCTGGCCACACCTCTCTTTCCTGTCTCAACTGGAGTAGGACCTCAGCAACCTGTGCTGAGAGGCTTTGGCGAAAGTCAGGGGGACTCTGTTCTGGTGACACTACCAACTCATTGGGTCACTTAAAGAAGATCACTGACAGAATCTGAGCCTCAGTTCCCCCTCTATAAAAAAGTAAAACAGGGCTTGGGTGTAGCTCAGTGGTAGAGCACTTGCTTTGCATCCACAAGGCCCTGCATTCTGTCCCCAGGATCACAAAAAAAGAAAAAAAAGCAGTATCTCTCCTCATGAACCTATCCAGGGACTTCAAGAGTGTGACTTGAGCATGAGTTCAGTCTCTTTGTTGACTGAACTGTGTGGCATGTGCTGGCCTTGTGCCCTAGGCTGTCTCCCACCTCCACAGCCCCGTAGGCTTTCCCACCTAGGTCTCTGGAGCACTGGCATCTGATAACCCTGTGTGGCTTCCTTTTATCTGTCCCTTTCTTCTTTCTCCCCAGTCTCCATCACTCCTGTAAGGAGAAGGGCATTGCAAGAGTCCAGGACAGCAAGCAGTGAACTTAGAGTCATGTGGCCATGATAGGTTCCAGTGCCCATCTCGGTCCTGAGCTCTGCATACACTGCTCCCTAGACAGACACTGGGTTGGGAGAGCGTCTGTGAATGCAGCTGGAATTACACACAGCCTTTCCACCGGTCGTAATACACAGATAATACACCTCTCTTTTTATGTAAATCGCATTTTTTGTTTTCAATTAAATCTTCAAAGTGCTGATATTCACTAATGAAAGAGAAGCTGGAGGCTTTCATCTGTTCCAGCTATGTCGCCAGCGTCCACAGGAGGCAGAGTTAAGGATGCAGAGGTGAGACTGAGTCCAGGTGCCTGCACTCTCCTCTCTCCCAGCCTTTGACTCCTCCCCTCTCACCGACCCCTCTGAGGACCACCACTCCCCACCCCACCCCCAGCACTCCCTCCCAACTCCTCACCTGTGCCAGGGAATTGAATCTCCACCTCCTCTTCCCCCACCCCCAGCACCCACAAAACCTCCCAGGGTGGAATCATAGCTCTGACCCACCAGGCAGCTTGGGCATGAAATCTCTGATCACTTCTAGGACCAAAGGGACTTGGGACTGGTGGTCAGACCTGCAAGTATCCCTGGGCCCACCTTCAGCCTGCTTTTCCCTGGAAAGGCAGAAAGGTGGGCAAGCCCAGCAACGAAAAGAAAGTGCATGGGGTGAGGGGGCAGAGGGTGATGAAGGAGGCCGCACTTGACCATAGTTTCCTCCTGGTCTTCTCAGCTCCTCCCCCAGGGGGCAGGTCACAGTAGGGAGGAGCAGCTGGGCAAAGAGAAGAGGCCTGGGAGCTGCACTGGGCAGGGCTGAGCCCTCCAACCCCAGATTCATGCTGGTAGCTGGAGGTCCACAGAATCTGTCCTACACGCTCTCCCTCTTCCCTAATTCAGGCCTTGGCCTTTCCAGTTTGTTCTTGCACAGAGGAGCTGGAAGAGGGCACAAAATCTGCCCTAGCTCCCGGCCCAGCTTCTTCTCCCACCAACACACAGGAAAAGAGCCACATGGCCTGGAGGGTGCCACTTTCAACCCTGCTGCTGCCGCTGCTGCTCTCAGGTGAGGGGGAAGAAAAGCCCAAGGAGAAGAGGACATGGTGTAAATGGGGACTGTTGGGACAGCGGGGGTGGGGAACAGGAGGTACTGTAGCCAGAGGCACAACTGTGGGGCAAGTTGTGCATTTGGCCCTGACCTGTGGCCTTATTCTCCAGGTTCCTGGGCAGACTCAAAGGCACAAAAATTTCAAAAGGTGGCAGGGCAGACACTGTCTGTGAGATGCCAGTACTCACCCAAGAGTGTGACCTACCAGAGAAAGAGCTGGTGTCGGGAGACGTCGGTTTCTCTGTGCACCATGTTAGTTACCAGCCCCACTCCCTGGACCCTGGTTCAGGCCTCTCGGTTCTCCATCTGGGACAATCCTAGTGCCGGCTTCTTCATTGTCACCATGGAAAATCTGAAGGAAGAGGACTCTGGACACTACTGGTGTGCCATGTACCACACTTCTAGCAACTCCGTCTTCAAGTCTGTCAAACTCTATCTTTCGGTGTCTCCAGGTAAGCCCCTTCCCCAGCCCTCAAGGCATACTCTTCACTCTTCACTCTGTTTGGGTGCCTCCATCACGCCTGATTTCCTGGTCATAGAAGCCAGCTTCTCCCCTGTCCTAGTCTTCTGGGAGGGCTAACGGGAACAGGAGCCTGGGGTCTTGGCTATGTGCACACACAGCCCTCTTACCCTGTCTGTCTGCATGGTTTACAAGCCTATAGCCAGTAGCTTCCTCAGAGATGCTCAGGCAGATTAATGCAGCATGCTGACCAGTCCAAGCGTATTTGAGCCTGTCACAGGTGATCCCAAGATTGCCCAGTCTCCTTGGCACATAATACACACGTAAACGTGTGTCCACTGATTGCAAAACAGCCTCCATCACGAGGAGCCATGGCTGTGTGAGCATGTAGGTTACCTAGTTGAGGTGTGTCCATCCCTCACAATCCAGACCAGAGTCAGCAAACCATAGCCCAAAAACTAAAAATGATTTTGATGGTTGGAGAAAAGCCATAAGAAAAAGCATATTTTGTGGCAAGAAAACTAGGAAATTCACATGTCAGTGCCTGCAAATAAAGTTTTATTGGAACATAGTCATATCCACTCATTTACACATTGCCTATGGCTCTTTCCATGAAACGATAGCAGAGATGTGTGACCCACATAGACCATGATATTTACTCTCTGGCCATTTTTACAGAGACTGTCTGCCAGTGTCTAGTATAGGCAGAGCTTCTCAAAGTAGAGGACATTTTTTAAAAAGTCTACAGTCCACGCTGAGGGTGTAGTTCAGTGGTTGAAGGCACTTGTCTAGCATTTGCAAGGCCCTGGTCTGATCTCCAGGACCACAAAAAAAAAAGTCTACCATCAGTTAATGACTAATTTTTAATAAAACATAGTAAGAAGAAAATTCTTGACAAATAAAGTGAGAAATCTGGGCATTAGTGGCTCACACTTAGGTGCTTGAGATGCTAAGGCATGAAGATTGCTTGAGTCTAGGAGTTTTAGATCAGCTAGTGAGACCCCTTTTCAAACAAAATAAAATCAAATAAAAATTAAATGAGAGGAAAAAAGCCAAATCTATAAAATATAAGTTGTGGTCATTCTTGATCTCTTTCTGAGGTGATCAAAGGTGCCTTTCTACTCTAATAAACTTTGCTGTTCTTAACAAACTATGCTTTTACCTCCGAAAAAAATATAAGCCAAAAATATTTATTAGATTTGACAGGCATAAAATTGCATCTCCACATATACAATCAGAACAAATATGATACAGGGAAATTATTAAATTTTAGAAAATAATACACCCTGTGCAGAAAGGCGATTGATACTGTAGCTTAACATTAAACTCCGCGTTCTGTTGTTTCTTAGTCATAATGAAACAAAATGTTAGAAGTGAAATAGCAACTCTGCATAAGAAATGCCAATATGTACACTGAACAAGCATTAAAATCTTATATAAAGATCTTAATGTGGGCTGGCAGAATGGCTCAAGTGGTAGAGCATCTGCTTAGCAAGCACAGGGCCCTGAGCTCAAACCCCAGTACTGCCAAAAAAAAAAAAAAAAGAAAGATCTTAATGAGTCAAATAGATGCTCTTCTTACTTGTTAATTTTGCCTAATCGAAGAACAACTACTGACACCATAATTCTTAGGAAATAATGTGTAAAGAAATTGGGTTCCTCCCTTATTTTGATAACATTCACAGTAGAAAACTGGTCCCACTCAGGTATGCTATAGAAGTCAAAGGAATGTTAAAGCAATTTCAGCAAGCTCAATATTTTTATTTTTAACTTTTACCAACTGAAGCAAGTGATGCTCTATCTTCAAAATGTGTCTTTGATTCTTCATCAGTACTCAGTTTCAAAAAATTTAGCTTATAGAGTCAGTTAAATTTAAATGAATTCTGGTCTCTGAACTTCCCATACATTTATCTTTTTATTTTGGTGTTTTGGTTTTTTGGTGGTACTGGGGTTTAAACTCAGGACCTTATGCTTGCTACGCAGCCACTCTATTGAGCTACTCCACCAGCCTCATTCCTCATATTGTTTTTATTGTTTTATTATTCATGTGTCCATACAATGCTTGGGTCATTTCTCCCCCCTGCTCCCACCCCCTCCCTTACCACCCACTCCACCCCTCCTCTCCCCCACCCCTCAATACCTGGCAGAAACTATTTTGCCCTTATCTCTAATTTTGTTGAGAGAGAGTATAAGCAATAATAGGAAGGAACAAGGGTTTTTGCTGGTTGAGATAAGGATAGCTATACAGGGAGTTGACTCACATTGATTTCCTGTGCGTGTGTTACCTTCTAGGTTAATTCTTTTGATCTAACCTTTTCTCTAGTTCCTGGTCCCCTTTTCCTATTGGCCTCAGTTGCTTTTAAGGTATCTGCTTTAGTTTCTCTGCATTAGGGCAACAAATGCTAGCTAGTTTTTTAGGTGTCTTACCTATCCTCACCCTCCCTTGTGTGCTCTCGCTTTTATCATGTGCTCAAAGTCCAATCCCCTTGTTGTGTTTGCCCTTGATCTAATGTCCACATATGAGGGAGAACATACGATTTTTGGTCTTTTGGGCCAGGCTAACCTCACTCAGAATGATGTTCTCCAATTCCATCCATTTACCAGCGAATGATAACATTTCGTTCTTCTTCATGGCTGCATAAAATTCCATTGTGTATAGATACCACATTTTCTTAATCCATTCGTCAGTGGTGGGGCATCTTGGCTGTTTCCATAACTTGGCTATTGTGAATAGTGCCGCAATAAACATGGGTGTGCAGGTGCCTCTGGAGTAACCTGTGTCACAGTCTTTTGGGTATATCCCCAAGAGTGGTATTGCTGGATCAAATGGTAGATCAATGTTTAGCTTTTTAAGTAGCCTCCAAATTTTTTTCCAGAGTGGTTGTACTAGTTTACATTCCCACCAACAGTGTAAGAGGGTTCCTTTTTCCCCGCATCCTCGCCAACACCTGTTGTTGGTGGTGTTGCTGATGATGGCTATTCTAACAGGGGTGAGGTGGAATCTTAGTGTGGTTTTAATTTGCATTTCCTTTATTGCTAGAGATGGTGAGCATTTTTTCATGTGTTTTTTGGCCATTTGAATTTCTTCTTTTGAGAAAGTTCTGTTTAGTTCACTTGCCCATTTCTTTATTGGTTCATTAGTTTTGGGAGAATTTAGTTTTTTAAGTTCCCTATATATTCTGGTTATCAGTCCTTTGTCTGATGTGTAGCTGGCAAATATTTTCTCCCACTCTGTGGGTGTTCTCTTCAGTTTAGAGACCATTTCTTTTGATGAACAGAAGCTTTTTAGTTTTATGAGGTCCCATTTATCTATGCTATCTCTTAGTTGCTGTGCTGCTGGGGTTTCATTGAGAAAGTTCTTACCTATACCTACTAACTCCAGAGTATTTCCTACTCTTTCCTGTATATCAACTTTAGAGTTTGGGTCTGATATTAAGATCCTTGATCCATTTTGAGTTAATCTTGGTATAGGGTGATATACATGGATCTAGTTTCAGTTTTTTGCAGACTGCTAACCAGTTTTCCCAGCAGTTTTTGTTGAAGAGGCTGCTATTTCTCCATCGTATATTTTTAGCTCCTTTGTCAAAGACAAGTTGGTTATAGTTGTGTGGCTTCATATCTGGGTCCTCTATTCTGTTCCACTGGTCTTCATGTCTGTTTTTGTGCCAGTACCATGCTGTTTTTATTGTTATTGCTTTGTAATATAGTTTGAAGTCAGGTATTGTGATACCTCCTGCATTGTTCTTTTGACTGAGTATTGCCTTGGCTATTCGTGGCCTCTTGTGTTTCCATATAAATTTAACAGTAGATTTTTCAATCTCTTTAATGAATGTCATTGGAATTTTGATGGGAATTGCATTAAACATGTAGATTACTTTTGGGAGTATAGACATTTTTACTATGTTGATTCTACCAATCCATGAGCATGGGAGATCTCTCCACTTTCTATAGTCTTCCTCAATCTCTTTCTTCAGAAGTGTATAGTTTTCCTTGTAGAGGTCTTTCACATCTTTTGTTAGGTTTACACCTAGGTATTTGATTTTTTTTGAGGCTATTGTAAATGGAATTGTTTTCATACATTCTTTTCAGTTTGTCATTGTTAGTGTATAGAAATGCTAATGATTTTTCTATGTTTGATTTTATATCCTGCTACCTTGCTATAGCTATTGATGATGTCTAGAAGCTTCTGAGTAGAGTTTTTTGGGTCTTTAAGGTATAGGATCATGTCGTCTGCAAATAGGGATATTTTGACAGTTTCTTTACCTATTTGTATTCCTTTTATTCCTTCTTCTTGCCTAATTGCTCTGGCTAGGAATTCCAGTACTATGTTGAATAGGAGTGGAGATAGTGGGCATCCTTGTCTGTTCCTGATTTTAGAGGGAATGGTTTCAGTTTTTCTCTATTAAGTATAATGCTGGCTGTAGGTTGTCATATATAGCTTTTATAATGTTGAGGGACTTTCCTTCTATTCCTAGTTTTCTTAGAGCTTTTATCATGAAATGGTTGGATCTTATCAAAGGCTTTTTCTGCATCTATTGAGATGATCAAGTGGTTTTTGTCTTTGCTTCTGTTAATGTGGTTTATTACGTTTATTGATTTTCGTATGTTGAACCACCCCTGCATCCCTGGGATGAAGCCTACTTGGTCGTGGTGAATAATCTTTTTGATGTGTTGTTGAATTCGGTTTGCCATTATTTTGTTGAGGATTTTTGCATCAATGTTCATTAAGGAGATTGGCCTATAGTTCTCCTTTTTGGAGGTGTCTTTGCCTGGTTTTGGGATAAGTGTAATACTGGCTTCATAAAATGTGTTTGGCAGTTTTCCTTCCCTTTCTATTTCATGGAACAGTTTAAGGAGGGTTGGTATCAGTTCTTCTTTAAAGGTCTGATAGAATTCAGCAGAGAATCCATCAGGTCCTGGACTTTTCTTTTTGGGGAGACTCTTGATTGCTGCTTCAATTTCATTTGTGTTATAGTCTATTCAGGTGATTAA